CTGAAACGCGTGACGACGTAGAGCGGTCTCCCTCAGCTTCCGGTGATGAGGGCTTGGGCGTGGGGTGACGTGGCATGGTGCAGCTGCGGCGGGCGACCGCCATGCAGGCCCCAACGTAGGTTGATGGCAAGGTCCCGCCCAATGCTGCTTGCAGCTTTAATTATAGTTTTGTATTTTTCATTAGTTTTTATTTATACTTCATTTTTAATTTTGTTAAGGTAATTGTTTTTAGTTTTAGTCAGTTTCCAGGGTGGGCTTGCGTGTTTCAGTTTAGTCTTTTATTGTTTAAAAATGTCTATTTTTAGTTTAGTTTTATATAATTATAATATGGGGACTATTTGTCAGAATTGGTATTACATTAATAATATTGTTCCTAGTCAGGTAGACAGTCTCAATAAACATGACATGACATGACAAATTTAACCAAAAGAGACTTCCTGTATTTTTATTATTTTAGTTAATTTAGTCAGTACACAATGTCATTTCAATTTGTTGTTGTTTAGTCTAGTTTTTATTTTTAATTCAGTTAACTAAATGTTTTTTTACACCTAGTTTTAGTTTTTAGTTTTAACCTTGGTACTAAGACCAATAAATGTCCTTGATGGGTGCAGTGTGCCTTTGTATGAACTGACCAACTCTGAGTGAGAAAAGGTGTGGTTTACCTGGAGCGTGCCTGTAGGTGACAGAGCCGTTGGCCAGTTGCAGCAGGGACAGCAAGGCAATCCACACAGCTGAAGAGGCTGCCATTGAAGCAAAAAACTACACTGAAAATAACAAGGAAGGACGTCTGGGGAATTATTCCAACACTGCTGTAGAGGATGAACCTGTGCAACACTGTTGCCTCTTTACTTGGTTGGTCTGTCAAAGCTTTCCAGGAAAAGAACACCACGTATCCTTCTTGATTTTCAGAAACATGGAGGCACCAATATTTCTTCCAACTGAACTTCTTATTGCTGATTTTTCTGTTGAAACCGTCCGGCCACAAAGTGTATGCTGTTTGCTTAGAGAGAGGTCACATCACAAACCTGTTGGACAGCATACCAGCAGGAGGGAGGAACCTCTACAAACCTGTCTGTCTGTCTGCCTGTCTCACTGTCTTCACTGTGTTGGGTGTTGTGTTGTGGGTGGTGTGTGTGGTGTGTGTGTGTGTGTGTGTGTATACATTCAGTTGCCAGTTATTCCAGTTTACTAAAGCAGTGTAATACAACTGTTTTTAAACATGATATGACTCATTTTGGAGGCTGGTGATATAAAAGGTATATAATTAAGTTGTTTGGAGGATTTATTAAAAAAGGGAATAGGGAAACAAAAAACGTCATGCCATGCCTTCTTTGTGTTGTTTATTGTGTGTTTGTGTGTATTTTAATGTTGTGTAAACTTGACCAAGTTACCTTTATTTTATTGAAAGAAATTAAAGGTGACATATTAGGTACTAGAATTGGTTTACATGCTTTAATGTTCAAGAAAACACATTTTTCTCACATTGTCAATTGTTCTGCTCTGATTGGTGAGCTCACACAGGACTAAACATTCACGGCCCACCATGTTTCTGCATCACCTGCTGTCTGTTTGCAGCCAGGCAGTCACTATAATGAGTTTATCTGCACTTCTACCATGAATATCACCAAAAATCGCTTATAAACCAAAAACTTTTAACCTCACATATTCGGCAATCTGACCCTACACTTGGATAAAACAAAACTGGGAATCAAGATTAACATTTTCTCGGCCGAAATGCTCATGTTAGTGACAGCACCGAATGTAAACATTAATGGCTGAGTTGTAACGTTAGCTAGTTTACCTAGGACCACAGAGATAGCTAACATTCTGCTACAGGTGGGGGGTGTAGTTCCTACATAATACGTCTCACAACAAGGTCTATGGATTATCCTCAGTAACCCTGTCATGATTTCTGGAAAGAGACATTGCTGTTGAGTTTTTTTGTAACAGCATTTTTTACAGTGCCATTATACTGGATAGAAGGCAGACATCTCTACAGCTGATATCTCCAAAGCTCAGCAACTCACACTAAAACAACCCACATGGATGAATAGCACTACAGGGAAGAGTAAAATATGTACTTTTGATTTTGGGGTGAACTGTCCCTTTAAAGGGACATTACATTTAGGAAGATCTATTGGTAGAAATTGAATATAATATGCATAACTATGTTTTCATTAGTGTATAATCACCTGAAAGACAAACCAAACACTGGCTCTATAGACACCTATACCTGAACCTTTAACCTCTTTTTGGTTTATATTAATATAATAACAAACAGCTAATACACTAGCAGGTCAATCAGGCTTTAATCAAAGCAGAGAAGTGATTCTCTGTATTAAATGCCGATTGTTGAGAAAGTGTGATATCTGTAGAAGTCAGAGTTTGGTGTATTACTTTGTGCCATTCATATATTGTCCTTTTTCAACAGTTAATCTATCAATTATTTTCTCGGTTAATCCATTAGTTGTTTGGTCCAGAAAATGGTGAAGCATTTTTATTAGTGTTTCCCACAGCCCAAGGTGACTTTCTTTAATGTCAATGTTTTGTCCTCAACCCAGAGATATTCAGTTCACTGTCATAGAGGACTAAAGAAACTAATATTCTCATTTGAGAAGCTAAAATCAAAGAATTTGGAATTTTTTCTTTAAAATGACTAAAATGAAAAAAAAAATCGATTAACAAAATAGTTGGCAACTAATTTAGTAGTTGACAACTAATTGATTAATCGACTCATCGTTGCAACTCCCACAATACAGTGACAACACAGTAGGGTTCCACATTGACTGACATCTGCTGGCCCACACCATGCATCATTTTCTGTTTGTACAGTACAGTACATTCATTTCTAATATGCCAACAAAATGGTGCACTGTCAACACACACACAACACAGTATACATCAGTGTACAGTCTCAAAACTGGGAAAACTAACACGTTAAGCTCCACTTCATTGTTAGATTGGATGTAAAAAGTGAAATCTTGTTCATGTTCATCCAATATCTGATACAACAAAATCCTAATGATGAGAATTTAAGATCAACCGAGGACCTAAAAATATCACCCAAAACTAAGACACAACAGAAAGAAATGTTTGAGTAAATGTTTTAATGGTGTACAAAAGTGATTTGACAATTTTTCTATATAAAACTTATGATGTGAAATGCAGGTTGTAAGGTAGACATAAATATTAATTCTTAATACAAGGGAAAAAAGGAAAACCAAACTGCCCAAAGCATTATAAATGGGAGATATAAAACTGGATATTTAGAAAAATACTGTAACTTTTTTTTTCAAGTGAGCTTGATAAAGCCTTGTTTTGGTGTGCATCATCTTGAGTCAATGTTTCCTTGCAGATAAAAAGCAGTGACAAAGGTGCTTGAAGATGTGAATTGGACTCATGTCTGTGGTTTTTGATTGTCTTGATACCATGGTCCAAATGGACCCATTCTAAGTCCCGCCCCTTGGAACCTCGGCCAACTTTCTCCATTCCTGTACTTAGATATGCTATGTGCTAGGTTCTCTATATTGAAAAGATAACCACATTTTAAAGATGGTTAAGTGATAAAAGTGACACATATAGTCACATTTTAAGTTAGCTAATGTTAACTAACTAATCTACATATAGAGGTTAGCTTTCTAGTTAGCATTTTGCTAGTTACATCTCTATGAATGTAGATTAGGAACTGTATTTCTCTCTAGCTAAACACCGGTTAATCTAGTTCTTTCCAATCCTCAGATACGTGTTACCCATCTCTCAGGTACATCTTTGAGAAAATCCAAATTCATAACATCTAACATAGAGCATAATGGGATGTTACACAGTAAGCCATTAGCCGTGCTATTGTTTACTTCTGCTTTCCAAAACCTGAAACCAGTTGAGCCTTGCCTAGCACACTGCAAAATGAATTCATTTAACAGTTTCATACTGCATACTAGTATGAAAAGCGGTATGCAGTATGTACTACATTCTACATTTTTATGCACCAATGCACCAAGACAAAAAACTTACTTGGCAATAAACCCGATTCTGATTCTGAACTGAACCCTGAGTTAGGGTTATTTTGTTCAACTACTCAAAGTCAAGAAGGAACTTTAACCTGTAACCAGTTCATTACTACTGTGTCAACTCTGTGGTTTTAAACACTGATGATGTAAAAACTAAAACAATGGAGAAAAAAAGACAAGAGTACCAGAATGTAGTCAACCTATCCCCAAAACCATGAACATCCAGACCAGGGGTCTCTAACATTTCTGAGTGTGAGGGCTACCTAAAGGAGAAAACGAATGGCAGGGCTGCTATGGATATTTGATGAACATCCATGTTAAATTGATGCTTTCAATAGAATTACATATTCAACAGAATTGTGGGTGAGGAAGTTATTTCTTCTCTGGTGGTTGTATTAACACTGAAGGAACTTATGAGAAATCTACTGATAAGAACTGAGAGTCAATTTACCCAGCTCGCCTAATCCACCAATTAACTGATAGATCATGAAAATCTACACGTGCAACTCAGAGAAAGTTGGCAAGGGCAGAATAGGGAAGCGTGGTTTCAAGTGGGAATATGTAATATGTAATAAATTATAGTCACAATATACTTTTTTAATCAATAAAAATGTATAAGTAATGTATTTAAATGTTTTGACACAGTCCGGACTTTCCAGTTTGTTCCGACCCAAAGTTACAGGTGTGAAACCTCCCTGAGACCACAGTCCGGACTAAACAGCTTAACCTAGGTGCGACCAAATTAAGTGGTAGACCAAATTGAACCATGGCTTGGTTTGTTTCTAGTATGGAAACATTCTTATGAATGGTAAATCTAATCTTTGGTGAATTCGAGCTAGACTTAATTATTGCGCTTGAAGTTGGTGCTGCTGGTAGTAATGCCATAGTAATATTATATGGGCAAATACATTTACTCCATTCATTCCAACTGTGATAGAAGGCTACCTGCCACACTTACAGCTGACATCAGATAAACGGTCGTCAATAAACCAATCAATTGCAAGTAGAGACCAAGACTCAGCTAAACTGCAATGCGAAACCAAACCTAGATCAAATGTATACAGTGTAACAAAATCTCAAACCTTAGTTTGGACTTTCACATGTGAAAAGACTGACATTACACAACATCTCTGGGTAGCTCATAGGCTACTCACAGGCTACCAGGTTGAAGACCTCTGATCCAGACAGTATTTGTTTCAACCCAACATGTTGCAAATGTTAAAATGTGCAAACACAGAAACAACTTCTGCTGATGTGAATACTGCACTGCCAGCTTGAAGTTCATGTAACCTTAACTTAGTCAAATTTTCAATAGGCATTGCATGGCAAACGGACCAAGAGTTCCCATACTGAAACAGTCTGCATCTGGATAATGTACAATCCGTTTAGGCCCTTGAACTGTCATCTGGTATTTATGGATGTTTTTAATCTCAACTTCAGTCTCATTATGGCACTGCAGGTGAAAAGATAAGGAGAAACATTACTACAGCCTGGAACTGCTGCCACGCTTCCTCCCTTTCCTTGTATAATTCTGCTGTGGGGCTCTGCTGCCCCCTGCAGGAGGGCGTGGAAAATGGATGTTTCATTTTTGGGCATGCCACATGCCATGAGCAACAAGCTGAAATCTTACATGCACATTTCCTTGTGTCCTTTTTTGCACACTAAAAACAGTAATAGTATTGGAAATAAAGTGTTTAGTAAGCTGTGTGGTGGCAAAGTCACTTCTGACTTCTGTACCTGCAGCAGTTTGGTCATTGTTACAACACGTGATGGTGTGGTTTTTATTTGGGATGCTACCGGTGGTTATCATGGTAATGCTCATGTGCACTGGTACACCGGCCAGAGTACTGACTTCCTGTTTCTCACCAAACTAATTCTGCTGCTGCTTCTACAGATGATTTTCATTAAAAATAAAACACAAAAGTTGCTTTTTTGGGCAAAAGTGCCAAATGAACCAGTTTGGGCATGGGAAAAAAATTATGCACCTTATCCTCTCTCTCTCTCTCTCTCTCTCTCTCTCTCACACACACACACACGCACACACTCCTTTCTGGAAAAGCAGTAAAGGGATGAGGCTTTGGTGTTCATAGTAACTTAGAGGAGGACACAGGGACAGCCACCACTCTTCTGTTTCCCTGTGTGATGAGCTTGAGGAGGAGGACTCTCCATCTCCTGAAACCTCCTGTGAATCAAGAAGAGTAGGAACAGAAAGAAAGTAATGAATCATTGTAAAGTTATGTATATTATATGCCTATATATATAATATTGATTAATGTAGGTTAAAAAAAGGAAGATTGTAGATTGTGAGATAGAACTATCTATCGCAAGTCAGAAATAACCCCAGATGAGGTGTCACCATCAGGAATTAATGGACGACGTGGAGGCCATTAATTGGGGTGATTGTGGCTCAGGAGGCAGAGCGAGTTGTCCACTAATCAGAAGGTTGACAAGTTTGATTCCCATCTCCTCCTGCTGCATGTTAGAGTGTCCTTGAGCAAGATACTGAACCTCAAATTGCTCGCGATACTGAGCATCGAATGTGGATTAGTTTCTCTTTGTGACGATCGTTTGCCATCACTGTATGAATATATATGAATGGGTGAATGTAGCATGTAGTGCACAAGCGCTTTGAGTGGGCGGAAGACTATAAAGGCACAAACAAGTAGAGTCCACCAATAATTCTTGATATGCACACCTCGAAGGGCTGAATCCCCCAGGTTCCATCCATGTGCCTTAAACAACCAACCCCTGTTTTTGGTCTGAATTCCCGCTTAGGGAAAAAGAGGACATTCAGAGGAGGCTAAAATCATATGTTAGAAACCAAAAGGTGGACCAGAATATTTCTCTGTGTCTGGCAGAGAAACACACAGCCATAACAGTGTGGAAGAAATGAAATAATATTAAATGATCACAATGTCTGTAGTAGGGCAAAATTAAAAACTATAAAACAGGGACCTGGATTTAGACTAAATTGTGGTAAACTTAAGTTAAATAATTCAGAACTATACCTGATAATTTGCACCAGCTCCAGGAAGGCCTCATCCACATTGTAGCGATTCTTGGCTGAAGCCTCCATGTAGTGGATCCTGTTCTCTCTGGCGAATGCCTGAGCATCCTCCCTCGAGATCTGCACACAAAGCAAACACTGGGTATTGTTTGCCCAGTCTCCATCCACTGTCCCCTCATCCAGCCTGTACAGCTGGGCTCTTCTTACTCTCCATTCACTTCAATAATGAGTGATCTACCTGATCAATACAGTACTGAGAAGAGATTGGCCCAGATAAGAAATAAAAGGCTTCATTACAAATGTAAAGAACAAGACTAGGTGGAAACCTTGTATGTGGCTGGACTGTGTATGGCAAATGGTAGTGTCTTTAAGATAAATTCCTGGATATTAATATACACTACTTGCAAAAAGTTAGGGATATTCGGCTTTCAGATGAAATTTCAATGAAATATAGTGCATTTGGGTGCCCGGTTAGCTCAGTGGGTAGAGCTGGTGACCCATGTACCAAGGCNNGGTTCGAATCTGACCTGCGGCCTTTTGCTGCGTGCCATCCCCTCTCTCTGCCCCCCTTTCCTGTCTATCTTTAGCTGTCATTATAATAAAAGGCAATAAAAAAGCCCCCAAAAATATATATAAAAAAAAGAAATATAGTGCATTCAGATAAAATGCACTATAACCTTTATAGGTCAACTTAATTTGACCTTGTCTAATCCTTTGAATGCACTGTTCAATCTTTCCGTACTCATTGCTAACATTCTGTTCTCTAACAAGGTCATTAAGTGCAAATATCACAACAAGTGTCTGATATATCAATCGACCACCAATTGTTCTGGTTCAATGACAGTTTGTATTTAAACAGTCCTCTTCGTCATGCTGTTCACATTTTGACATCATGAGACCAAGATGACAATTGATCAACAGTACCTGGCCACTGCAAGGCTTTAAACAAATTTACTCAGATGAAAGTTGCCACTGAGCTTAGAGTGACCACTTCATTGTGAATAATGCCCTGCGAAACCAGATGGTGAATGCCACTCAACTCCAGGAACGTTTAAGGGAGGTGAGAGGCACCCGAGTGTCACGTCATGCATGGGCCAGGAAGCATTTGCGCTGGACGAGAAACCAGCAGGCCTCAGTGCTGTTCTCTGATGAAAGTCGATTCACATTGAGCAGAAATGATGGCCGCCCACGCTCTTGGAGACGCCAAGAAGAACACTATGCATCAGCCACAGTGGTCACCAAACGAGCCTTTGGAAGTGGTGGTGTTACAGACTGGGCAGGTGTGTCTAGTCAATACAGAACTGCCCTACACCTTGTGAATGGTACTGTGACAAGCCGATGCTACCTGAATAACATCAATAATCCAGTCATTGTGCCTCTGCATGAGCAACGCAGGCCTGATTTCATCTTCATGGATGACAATGCCCCAGCTCATTGAGGTCGCATCATCAGGGAACGGCTGCTGGAGGCTGGGGTACCTCAATTGGAGTGGCCTGCACGTTCTCCAGACTTGAATCCCCTAGAAAACCTACGGGATCAGCTGAGTCGCCGTGTAGAGGGTCATCACCCCGCAACCCAGAACCTCAATGACCTGAGGGCAGCCCTTCAAGAAGAGTGGAATGCCATGCCTCAGCAGACAATAAGTCGACTTGTGAACAGCATGAGACGTTGTTGTCAAGCTGTAATTGATGCTCAAGGACACATGACAAGTGTCATGGATACCCACCACTGTTGTTGTTTTGTTTCAATACATTGTTTGAGATGAAGAAATTACCATTGCATGCTTCTACTTAAATGCCCTACTTTCATGATATAATATCACTGTAGCATGAACGTTTAATATTTTCCATAAATTTCACCCGAAAGTCGAATATCCCTAACTTTTTGTGAGTAGTGTATATATCTGCACTTAATTATATTAATTAATATTATAAAGATACATAAACATGCACAAAGGTCTTACTTACAACTCTTTGCTGTTCCAGGTCAGCCTTGTTTCCAACCAGTACCATGGGGAAATCATCTCGGTCCTTCACTCTCAGGATCTGGGTGTGAAATTTCTGGACCTCATGGTAGCTGTTGGGAGAAGGGAGGCAAGAATTAGCTGTCCCAGTATCAAAAAGCATATATTCATATGGATACTCATTTACAGGAAACAACATACTGTGTACAGGAGATATACAGCAGACAGTTTGATATTCCAGAAAAAGTGCTTTCAAAGGCTGTGGCTCAGAGGCAGAGCGTGTTGAAGTATCCTTGAGCAAGATACTGAACCCCAAATTACTCCTGATGCTGTGCATCGGTGTGTGAATGTGTATGAATGAGTTA